CCCGAGCCTGCTTGAATAAAGTGGGGAAAGTGCCTGTGAGGAGAGATGTGTTGATGATATGTGTGAGTGGTGGTAAAAGTGTAGGAGAGATTGCTTGGAGAAGGTGTGAGGGGATTGGGTCAAGAGGGAATGTTGTAGGATGGCTGGAGAGGAGAAGTTTGGGACAGAAGGAGAAGATGGGAGTTTTAGTAGTGGGTGTGGTTGGTTTGAATTCCTGTGTGTGGGGGGCTGAGAATTGACTACTGATTGTTCTAGTTTTGTCTGTGAAAAATGTGGCAAAATCCTCAGCTGTTATAGAAGTGGGTGGGTTGGTGGTGCACAGGTAACAAAATGTAGTTGAAATGCAATGAAAAAATGGTCAGAGATGTGTAGGGGTTTTACCGAAATGTTGTCTGCAATACAATTGCGTGTGTAAATTAAGTCAAGTTGGTTTCCTGATTTGTGCGTGCTTGTGGTGGTAAGTCGTTTGAGATAATTTTTATTTTTAGCACACAGTGATTGGCTGATAGGGGAGGTGTTTCTGTCAGAGATTTTTTCAAAGAAATATTGTAGAGCACGATATTATGTTGCCATTTTCAAATAAAGGTTTTAAAATATGTTGCCACATTCAAATAAAGATTTTAAAATGCAGGCTAAGTGTCACCAATTAAACAAGTATGTGTTCAGCTAATTGTCAGCCTCTTACCTGTATGCTTCTAATAATTAGTGAATATGCTTGGTCTTAGTGACTTAGGAGTCCTCTTCACTACTCCTAACGTTTCACAGATTTAGGAGCTAGTTTTAGCGCTAATATTGCTTTGTGAAATACTTTTAGATAAAAAATTTAGGAGTCCTAAATTTAGTACTGACACACCCATTATTTGTAAGATTTTCTCCTAAATCGGCGAGTTACGAGCTACTTTTAGCCTTAAGATGTTTTGTGAATAGGGCTCAGGTTTCCTCGTCACACAGTGGCTAGTGACAAGATCCCTGTAAAAATAAGCCTTGTAGTGCACTCCTACCTCACTGAAGAATCTATTATAATATATAACACAGGCCCATCCAACCTCATATTACCCCATTAAAATTATTTTGTTCTGACTAAGACTTTGTTATGGCTACAGATGTTTGTCTGCACTGCCACACTTTCTCAGGCAACAGAGGTGAAGCATGGAGCGTGTAGAAATTCCCCTACAGATATCCACTGGCAGGTATGTAAAAGCTCAAACTGAGAGAACGCCCCCTTTAAAGACAAAACTGCACGACAATAATGTTCAGCTTAACATGGACTTTAGAACTTGTATGTGGATAATGACAAGCCTCAACTTTGAACAAAACATTTATTAGTTTAGTTTCTCCATCCAGAAACAAATGAGCTCAAGATTTACAGACTGACAGAGGGCCTGATCATACCTACCTGTTCTGTACAGTATGTGTTGGTAGGTACAGATATAAACCCTGACAAATGAGAAGGTGAGATAACAATGGCGAGAAAGATGAAAGAGAAATGGCAGAAAATGGGAAGTTTGACAGACATAAGGGGAGAGAGGGAGGGCGCAGAGAGGGCAAATGCAAACAATGAATAAATATTCATGTTCACCGACAGAAAGGTTGCTCTGTGCAATATTTCCAGCCCTTTGCAATGTGAGTGGGAGATACCAATGCAGAACAGAGGGGGGGGGGAGGAATGAGAACATTTATAAGCCTGAAAAATGATTCCACTGATCAGGAGGTCCTCAGAAAAATGTACTTGCAAATTGAAACAGCCAGTTTTTGTTTGTTCACATGTGTCACAAACGAGCAACTCTTAAATAATGAGTCTTTCCAGTCTGCACTTACATATTTCTAGGGCTTTTAAAGATACATAAGGCTGCAGATTGTAGGGTACAAAGTCAGTAGAACCAGAGGGTGAAAATCTGAACTACATCTGCTGCTGTTGTGCATGAGTTGCTTGGCAGAAGTACTTGAGTTTTTTTTTTTTTTTGTCCTCACCGAATGAGAGATATATCAGAACATCTAAACCCTGCCTAAACTGCTTAGGGCTTTAGAAATTAGTCAGTGTCCCTGTGGCATTTTCCAGACATATTCAGCACTATGTTGAATGGTTTTGTAACAACTTTCGTCAGACAATTTGAATTTGTCATATATTAAAACACAATCCCTGCATCTGCAATGTGTCCACTTTTGCACTAAAAGGTACGCAAAAGATGTCAAGTGGATAAAGTCTGAGCAATAAAATAGTAGATTAAAAATACTTGGATACGGCCAGTGTTATTTTATTATTATTATTTATATAGTAGTACTTATTAATATTTTAAATTAGCCGAAAATATAGAACATTGCATTACTATTTTATTTTATTTTATTCCGTTTTTATTTTAATTTGAGTTTAATGTAATTTAATGTGAATTTGTCATTTGTATTCTTTTTTTTTACATTCTATTTTATCTTTAAAAATTATATTTTTATTTCAGTTTTAGTAATTCTAGTAGCTTCAACTTACATTTATTTATTTCAGTTGACAAGGCAACATTTCTAATTTTAATTCAAGTTTTTCAAGTTTTCATCTAATATTTGCATTTTATTTTATTTCAGCTTTATTTCAATTACTGAAAACAATTTTAAATAGCCTTATTTTTAGTTACAGTAACAACAAGCTAAGGCTGACATCATAGGTAACATGACGATGCCAGCATAGATGTATTATCTGCAGATTGTATTCATACTACATACATGCGTACTTTGTAGAACTTACAACATCATTTGAGAGGTTCTTCATCAAATGCAATGCATACTCAGACAGTAGATAAATGTTATTGTGAATGACATAAAAACAGTCATACAAAATTATGGAGTTTATATTAAAGCCTTTTTATGGGTACTGTTTTTGGTGCCTGATTAAAGATACATTTTCAAAACGCTTGATACTAATATCACAACAGATCGTCAAAAGTGCACTTTTTTCAAACATTTCAGCATATTTTCACTTGTCTTAGTACAATACACACAATCACAAAGTATCCTTTTCACTACACAAAATAAGTGTTTCATCTATATAAATGTTTCATTCACAGTAACAGGCCTTTCATAAAGCTCTTGCTATCAAACTTTTCATTTGCATGTCTTCTCATTCAGTGTAATACATTTCTCTATCATTAAATCTAACTTGGTTAATCAGTGAATCATTTGGTGCATCTATAGGTATCTATAGATATAGATTCAGTAGATATAGTTTCTAAAGAACTTGTTTGGAATTTACAGATAATCAAATGTAATGAAAAGTGATTTATCTCAGATGATAACCACTATTTTGTAAGTCAGTGTGTGTACACACACGTCACACAGTGTGTGTGCTAAATTGAAAGAGGATCACAGTGTTGTGTTTCGGTGATTAAATCAAATGTTCTCAATATATATTATAATCTTATGTTTTGAAACAATGATTGTGTGGATGAAAATATGTGTAATTGTAAGGAAAGCTCAGTTTTGAAAGAATGACTTTTTTTTCAAGTGTGATCAGTTTAGATTTTTGTACTAAGAGTTTTGAAAATATACATCTTACTTGTGAAAATAGTACCAAAGTGAATAATAATAATAATAATAATAATAAAAAAACTGTAATGTGGTGTTTTAAACAAAATCCTCCCTTGGGGACAATGAAGGGGCCATCAAGGTGAAAGGGAGAAATGGGTTGGAAATGAAGTGACAGGGTAAACATACTGGCTTTGCAGCAGGTCACCTGAGTTCTACTTCCTCACCCCCACCACAGGAAGACCGACCACATAAAAACAGGAAACTCCACTGCTCTAATACATCAAACAGCTACTGTGCATAGGTAAAGTCCTCAAAATAGTCATGCCAAACTGAAGGCAGATGGAGGACTTTTTGTGTACAGAGGGTTATAAGTGATAATAAATTTGAAAGTCATATTTATCAATTATAATATATATAAACAGTGGAATTAAAAAAGGTCTAAAAGCTCATTTTTTAAAAGTTTATTTTTAGAACATTGTGTCAGGCGTGAGACAATGCAAAAAGCCACTGTCAAACATCTACTGCAGTGGTTCTCAATTCCAGTCCTCGCGTACCACTGCTCTGCATATTTAGCATGTCTCTCTTATTTAACACACCTGATTCAGATAACCAGCTCATTACCATAACCAGTGTTCCGACTGACAAGGTCCCTACACAGTGTTCATTGCTCCCTACTCCTTGAGCACTGGAAATCCGTTGAAGTTTACTTCACTTCGGAACATTCATTCACAGATTTGCGATACGCCATGGCCTGCAGCATCTTCACACACAAACGAAACTTACTAGAGAAGTGTGACATAATAGCCTATACCTCTGTAAATAAATACAATTTAAATTCACGTCTCACACACTTTAATGCCCTTTGAATGAAACATATACGCTCCCTTCGAACTGGAATCATAGTGGAATATCCTGTGATGTCCACTTCGCAGGGCACTTACGGTCAAATAGAACAAACATCTGAAGTGATAAGAGATACAATTTTTTAAAATCCATGTAAACATTATGCTAGACAGACATCTTTGACCCGTTGCACTTTGTCTTTTTCAGACATGTTTGTATTAGTATGTAGCCTTATGTATGCACAAAACATCCTGCATTAATTTACTAGTGTGAGAAGGGAAAATTTTACTGCAAAACCAAAAACAGACCTATACCACTTAGTCATTTTTCCTACACGAGTGTCAAAGATATCACTGTCTAGTAACTAGCAATATGGTCAACAACATTACATACATGGAAACAAATACTAACAAATGAGATCAGATTCAGCAAATAAGGGTTGTTTGGTTTTTTTTTCTTTCTACTCTGTAAGTTGTGATTTCCTTCATGCACTGGTCTAAGCTGGACCCAGCGGTGTTCTTTATTAGCTTCATTATCAAACTGAAGGGCATCAGATGATGTGTGCAGACATGATGCATGTCAAACCAGGACACAATTCCCCAATGTCACTTAGCACTTTAAAGACTATACAGAGAAGGAGAGGGGGAAGGTTAGTTCATGTGCTTGGTAAAATATTGTCATAAAGCACTCTTGACTCTTCATGCGCTCTCACATGGCTCCACGGCTCACTTTACAGATGTGGATTCTGTTGAACTCTAACAGGAGGTGAACAAATCAGGATGAAAAATGACAGACAGTGGATCTAGAGTAACTGGCACTCAAAATACAAATAAATCTCAACTGTATCAGAGAACAAGGCTTATTGGTGAGTACACACAATAAAGAAGGAGGGAGGAACAAAGTGAGAGTGAAGGGGGGAAGGGTGAAAAGAAAAAAGAAAGAAAAGGGAGGGGAGAAGGAAGCTGGGTGGAGCCGTTACGGGGCCCTTGTTCACATTTATCACACATGATGAAGATGGGTGAGGGGCCTTTGCAGTACCCAACACCTCTGCCATGAGGGACCCTACACACACCTTTAATGAGCCACAAGAAGCCAAACAACCATGGGCGGCACCCATGAGCTGTCCCAAAGTAACAGCAAACACACGTACACTAGCAGGGTAAACCATTAAATTCCATAAAATTATCATAATTCAATTTGTGGTATGATGCAAGTGCAATTAATAGTAAGACGTATGCAAAAAAAATGAAATGCAAATTGTGTCGATGCATTCATTCAGATGCTCTACAGGACATGGGGATTAGTTGACGCAGAGCGCCATCTTTAGATTAAATATGTCGTTCATAATTCTTCATTTGTCCTTGAAAGCCATGACTTACTCAAAGACACCAAACTCATAAATAAATGTTCTAATCAGAAGGATTTTTTTTACAAGGTGAACGATAGTCTGTGCTTAAGGATAGTGAAGAAAATCATTCAAATGTTTACAATGAAAAAAAAAATCACTATAGAGGGACATTGTGTAGGGGCCCTTTAAGGATGAATACAAGCTTTAACGCCTGAAGCAAAATGCGTGTGGCGTCACGCTTAACCCAGCTGTATGTTATGAAAACTACAGGAACAGACTTGACTTGAGCCTGAGCTCAAACGTTTGTAGTTTTATTTCACAGACAATCTCAACAGCTGAATGTCATGTGAGACCATGTAGGGCAGTATTGGGTGTTGAGTGCCACCTAGTGGGGCGCTTTAGCAAGTCTGACACTGATAGGCTATAGTTGGATCCCCACACATACACAAAGGGCTTAATATGATCTAATTATACGGAGATGGCACAGAGTCATTTAAGAGCTTTAACACAACCCCTGATTATCCACTGAAACATGCAGGCAGTCAGCGACTTCTCAGTTCTCATCTGCTTATCATGTTTACTTGCAAAAATCTTACTCCGAGGTCAGGTGAAACTGTGTATAAAAATGAAAAAGATACAATAAATACCTTCATTTCTTTATAACAAATTGTCTTTTAGACAAAAGAGCAGTGTTCGTTGACATTTAGAGAACTGGCAGACAGCTGATATAATTTCAATATGTATTATATATCATTGTTTCATGTAATAAATCAATACGTCACACACGATTACATTTAACCATTTATTTTAGAATTCATACACACCAGATCCTAACAAAAATATAAATATGGAAAATAATTTCTTTAAAATATAAAGGGATTTCAACAAAAGAACAGGGCTGCAGTTGTTAAACTTCTGAAGTTCTTGTTTTTTGGTCCAGTTTTTCTTTGAATTATTAATGGAATCTTTGTGCCTGTAACACCCTAGTAATTATATAATAATTACTACAATTAAGATACAATAAAGCTAAACTGCAGTGCTCAAACCCACTGCTCTTTGATCAGGCTGCATCTACGGACACTCAAAAACTGAAATCTGTCCCAATGTCTTGGATTACGTGGACAGCCTCAGCCTACTGCGCTCCGCTGAATAAGGTCTTAAATGTTTCACACCATATCATAGTGACAAGTCCTATCCGGCCACTGTATGATTGTTTATATGTTGTTTTTGTCTTTATTCCTTTCTGATATTACCTATTGAAAACTGTGTTGGCACCTGCACTTTTTCCTTTTAAGCTAAATTGAATGTATCAATCTTAGCTTTATCATTTGAGTTATATATATTTTTAAATGTGTATAATTGATGTATTTGTAGCTCAATATAATTATAGGTTTGAATATAAAGTTTTGAATTTCACATGTGATTTAGATGAACTACAAGACTTGATTATCAGCTGTTCTTAAGAGATCCAGCAACTGTGAAGGCAAAAAAACAAAAATGACATTCAAAAAAACTCTTGACTTTGTACATTGTGCCAATGCAAGCATGCACTAGACAAGAATATGATTGCATTAAATTGCTGCACGTACTGCATTAAACATTATGCTGAAATTAAACGAACACTTTTCAAAATATTTAACTATTTTAGGTGTGACTTTTCAGTTGACAAGGGTATTTGTACATTTTGGAACAGAAATGTCGGAAGCGGACACCTAAAGTAAACAGCCAAGAAGGCAGAGTTAATAATCAATGCTGAGAGTCTTAGTTTAGCCAAACATCAGCTGATTAATCGGCTGCCTGGCCAATATACTTAGAGCAAGACAACCATATTTATCTGTTTGTAGAAGAAACTTGCTTAGAGATTAAGCAAGACTTTATTATGTAACTTCTCCTTATTAAAACAGTAACATGTATTTGGGTATGCAGTCTGACAAAAGGCTCAGCATCTATTCACTGGTGCATTTCAAAGAATGCAAATACACAGGAGCCAATAGGAGAACCAAACAAGCCCCACACTACGTTCTGAGTTTTGGGGAGGAAAGAGGCAGTTCAGAGGTTAAGTAGAGAGGTAGATTGAGCAGGATTAGACTGCTAAAGTAACCAGAACCAGGTGGTGGAGCGATGCTTTTATACGGCAGGCCAGTTTAATACCAAAAAGGTTTCATACTTATGACTGAAAACACGTTTTAGGATTAAAATATTCCAGGTTAATCCAAACAACAACAAGGCAACTGCCAAACATGCAGCCATTATGAACTTCAACTGATTGGAAAAAGTTTTTCAGTCATTTTGAGTCACACATACAATTGTTTATGTTATTTTTCAGGAAAGACATAAATCATTCCTAAGAAAATGGATGGATTTATTTTTTCTCAGCCAACCTTGAGCTCATCTAATGTAGAATATAAAGACATGTTTCCTGTTACAACAATCAATGTTGAAAAGAATTAAATGATCTGGTACAGTGGTACGTTGTTGCCTTCATTCATTGTGCTGAAAATGAACACAAAACTGCAGTGTCTTGATAACCAGCAAATTGTGGAGTCAAATTTAATTGACGAACCAGGACTACACCATTAGATATTTAATGAGTCTTCCCCGGACTGACATATTCATTTGTGACTCAATCAGAAAATGCCATCTCAAAGGACACACATACGGTTACTTGTAATAGAACCTCTGACAATTGGAATGAGAGTGCTTTCTGAATGGGTTACTTCTTTCCGAGAGACAAACTGCAATGCACAAAGAAGATTGGGTCAACATCAACTATATTTTTACACAATGTAATTAAGCAAGCACAAAAATGCACTTTTTCTTTTTGTGGAGTCATGAAAAAGGCATAAAACTATAGGATTCTTACTTGTTAAAAGAGTCGTCCTGTAGATTCAGAACCAAACTATCTGCGCTCAGGTAAACCCTGTTCTGTGAAGCCGCCACCTGGAAAACAACCTTCATCTGGTCAGGGCTTTTAGAAAGGACATCAAAACATTCAGCTTTTTCCAAAAAGACTTGAATAAATGTTAAGCCCCTCCCCAAAAAAAAGCCACCCAAGACCAGCTGAACCTTGGCAGAACTGCTAGTGAACATCAAATATTTACATGGGTGAAAAAAACACCCTTTTCCAAAGCGTACCGTTTACATCAGGAAAACTTAATTAAAATTATAAATAAAATGAAGTGAATAATAACATCGTACCGTTTTGGCAATGTTCTGCGCTGCTCTGATTCTTCTGAGTTTAAGGTATCCAGGGTTCTTTGTGACGGCCTCCCCTAACTGTGAATTAGATCAGACCAAACCAAAATACATTTCTCATATAACAGTTTTCTAAAAAAAGACACATTAATAATATTTATATTATAAAATAATTAGGGGTGCACCGATTGATCGGCTACCGATCACTATCAGCCGGTAAGCGCTTTTCGGATGATTGATCGGCGGTCTCTAAAAAGGCCGATCTCAAGCTGATGACGCTGCCGTGAGAGGTTTGGCACAACATGCAGCGGCACCGTCTCAGTCTCTGTCCGGCGCGGGTGAAATAATTATAATGCTGAAGGTGAAGTACTCGCCTTCATATTTCTTAATTAAATAATTATAAAGTAATTTGAAAACCTTGTGTGAGACGTAATTTCACAAACAGTGTGAGTGAATCAGCGCACGCTCTCTCTCTCAAAATACGCAAATGTCTTCAAATCACCACATCGCGTCTGCACTATAAGCGAGCTGCACCCTGCACAGTTGACACAGGAATTGTCACTTGTACAATCGAGGCAGTGTCACATCGTCACTAAAGTTTATAAATTGCATTACTTTTTCATTCTTGCCAGTGTTTAACCATTCAGCACTCGCGCGCTCTCCTGGAGACCGTGCGCTCATGCACACTCGCAGTGCACACACATAACGCCAGGTTCACATTACTCCGTTTGCAGTGCATATGTTGTGCGTATTTTTTCAGCGCTCATGTTAACGGATTAAAGTGTGCACACTGCACACGGTTGCTGTCCGGCAGTGCGCTCCAGGAGTGGTGCAGAGATCGTGTCCACACCGAGCCTATTTTTGCTGCGCTGCAAGCGCTGAATTAAAGTAACAGCGCATTTTTTGCAGTAAATATGAACATGAATTGACACGAAAATGTAGTAATTACACCATAAATTCATATTATTAAAGTCTACTGTGTTTCATAGTCGTTTAAAGGGAAAGAGCACTTTTAGATAAACAAGGCAATAATAGATGGCACTCATGGAGGAAGGAAAACAAAGTTCTTTATGCACTGCAGGATTGCTTGTAATAAAGATTTCAATGCAAAAAAGAAGGCTTTAAAAAGATCGGTATCGGTGATCGGTATCGGCAGATACTGCTTTCTGTGATCGGCAATCGCCTCAAAAATCCTGATCGGAGCACCCCTAAAAATAATACTGTAATACAATAATATAATATAATAATTAAAATACTCATGACTTTTGGACCTGTGAGTGGCAAAATAAATCATTTTTGATAAGAGACTCGTACCATTTTGGCAGCCTGGGCCTCTCCTTCAGCTTGGATGATTTTCTGCCTCTGTTCTTGTTTTGCTTTCTCCACAAAGAACTGAGCTCTTTGCGCCTCCTGCTGGGCTGGAAGACCATAAACACGTTTTATTACAGTTATTATGTCCACATATTTTATGTTACAACACACAAGAACCTAACTTTACCTACCAACTTGTTTGGCCTCCACAGCTGCTGTGTACTCCTTGCTGAAGCTCAACTCTGTGATGGCCACATCGTCGAGAATAATGTTGAAGTCCTTAGCGCGTTCAAAGAGATCCCGTCGGATGAGTAGAGAGACCTGCATGAAATCAGTGGCAAAGAAAGATTAAAAATATAGTCATTTTTAGAATGTAATTTGGAGATTTTCTTCCTTTGAATATGGATCCTGGAAATTTGGTTCATTTCTAGAATATGTGGAAGACTTTCAAAACTGAGTAACAGATTGTGAGGAAATACAAACCTGGGCTCTTTGCGTAATTAGTTGGGATGCATTAAATTTGGCGACCACGCTCTTCAGAACTTCATTTACAATGGATGGCAGCACACGCTCATCGTAGTCCTTCCCCAGCTGCTGGTACAAGACAGGAAGGTTGGAAGCCACAGGTCGTGACAGCACACGCAATGCGATGCTCACCATCTGCAGGTCTGACCACATTACAGCAACGTTACATGAACTATAATCAAGGTGAACACATTATGACTATGTTGAAATGGAAGTAAACAAAGCATGATCATGACAATGAAATAAAATTCAAAAATGTACCTTTACTTCCTGTTAAAGATGATATTTTTCTTGGTTTGGCTCTGATATCATATATGATTGGATACTGAAACCATGGTATCCTATAAGAACAATGTAGTTTTTTACATTACATTTGAAAGTTACAGCATTCCTTTTTTATTATGGTGAGATTAAACATGCTTTCACACAGAACAAGTATATAAGTCATAAAAAATTGCCTGAAGTGGAGACCCTCAGAGAGGACTGTGTCCATCTGCATCCCTCCAATTCTATTAAAGACAATTGCTCGCTGACCACCCTCCACTAAAGACAAGACAATTAGTGTGAGTGATGACATTACCAGTCTTATTTTAATATTCATTTCAAAAGTACATGTTGCACAGATACACCACCGTTCAAAAGTTTAACATTCAAAAATATTTTGTCCAAAAATCTCTTAAGCTCAACAAGGCTGCATTTACTTGATCAAAAATACAGAAAAAACTGTGATATTGTGAAGCATTTTTACAATTGAATATATGTTTTCTTTTTATGTAATTTATTCCTGTAAAGACAAAGCTAAATTTTTAGCAGCCAGTACACCAGTTTTTAGTGTCACACAATCCTTTAGAACTTATTCTAATATGCCAATTTATTATAATTAAAGTTTAAAAAAAACATTTGTGCAGCTTAATATATTTGAGGAAACCGTGACTTTTTTTCAGGATTCTTTGATGAAATTCAAAAGAACAGCATTTATTTGAAATAAATCTTTTGTAACATTGTAAATCTCTTTACTGTCACTTTTAATCAATTTAATGCATCCTTGCTGAATAAAAGTATGAATTTCTTTCAAAAACAAAATCTTGATCCCAAACTGAATAGTAGTGCAGAAATTCACTACACTAGACATCTGAGCTGAGCTCTACTCCTAATACTTTTTTAATTTAATGTAATTCTTTATACTATTGTAAAACTGAATGCACCTGTATATGTGGCCTCTTTGACTCCATAAGCAAGTGCACCTGCTCCAATTAATAACTTTAGTCCGAGTCCAGCACCCTTTGAGCCAGAGGACATGCGTCCGGCGAGATCCCTCAGGTTCTGGAGCAACCTCTGTGAGATTACAAAATAAACATATTCACTTTCAGTGGAAAATAATTACACTGACAATATGACCGTTACATCAGGTAGTATAATCTTCACAGACAAGGTCTTACCAAAAGGGTTAGGCTAAATGATATGACAGCGCCACCTTTTGACACTTAATGGGCATAATTCATCATGTCTAGAATTTTCCGTTTTTTTTTTGACGTTGTCCTATTATTCATGTGTTAAAAATATTATAATAATCACTGTCTGGGAAATGACTTCATTAGCTTACATTCTGATACAGATCATGGAAGAGCAGGTACTGTGTTAAACAAATTAGGCAACCTTTCATGGAAAAAAAATATTTAATGTGAGTCTACACGAACTACCTAGCATGTATCACGTAAACTTTAGACCTAAAGTTACAGCAATTTGTTACAGGTGATATTAAACGTCAAAGGCCCAACAAGCTTCAAGAGCAGCCGGTATCAGGAGTCAGGACTTCAGTACAGGTATTCAAAATCAAAGCATGCTATTCAAAAATGATTAATATTTAAATTTGTTAAGGGGTCTGACAGCACGTTTAATCTTAAAATGTGCTTTAGTGTATGAGAGCAGATCAGATCATGTAACAGTTTTACAGTAACAGAAACACTTTTTCTGTTCTGATTTCTGCTGCCAAGCTGATTATGACTGCTTATAAAAAGTTGTCCCTTTTATTAATGAGCATTTATAAAATTCTAATGTTATAAATAAAATTTCTTAAGAATTAAGATACTCACGTTAGGCTCTTTATTCGCCATGCTTGCAGCAGCTACCCAAGGTCGTCACGAACAACTTCCGCTCCAACCGGAAGAAATTCTGGGTAATGTAGTACTCTCAGTTATTTCCACGTTTTGGACAAATGAGCATTTATAAAATTCTAATGTTATAAATAAAATTTCTTAAGAATTAAGATACTCACGTTAGGCTCTTTATTCGCCATGCTTGCAGCAGCTACCCAAGGTCGTCACGAACAACTTCCGCTCCAACCGGAAGAAATTCTGGGTAACGTAGTACTCTCAGTTACATTACTACATAGAGAACGGCCAGTCTATATAAAGTAATTATATGCTAGGTCATATCCAAGACTATATATTTAAAATTAACACAAATTTCATGTGACAACCATTAAGATATTTTAACTGGATAAAGATATGTGCCCAGTTTATTATATGGGAATAATGTAAAGAGCAAAATACGCAAACAGTTTTAAAACCTCGGAACTGTTTGATTTGTTCTTATATTCCACTTATTTCATGTCATGTTAAAGCTGCCATATTTCTGAAAATGCAATGTGTGACAAAAATTGGCCACCAAAAACAATTATGAGATCACTCATTCGGCTGAAAAATACTTAAGGGAGAAATGCAAGAGACAAAATATTAATATGAATATTTTAATCCTTAATTTAATAATTTATTTTAAAACAAATCCTATCTTACAGTTTAACTAAAAAAAAAATAGACCATGAATAACCACACAGACTGCGAGAAAACGTTTTAAAAACAGCTGATAAGGAAGCAGTGTACATTGCAGGATTGAAATACTATGTAGAAAAAGAAAATCTTACGTTAAGACATTTGCAGGCATCATCTGTGACTCTGGTGCAGCTTCTATCAAAGACTGCCATGTGTTTGTAGAATTAGGAATCACAAAGCCAAACTCAAAAAACCACTCTGAAAAAAAGACAAGGTACACATGTAAGCATTTTGTGATGTAAATAGTCCTTACGCACTTTAACTATGGCAGGCTAATAAGATGAAAACATATTCACAAACAAGCTTTCAAAAGTCTTTTCAATTCATTTGTTCAAGTTATATAATTAATCGTGTCTCAAAAGAGCATTGTTTGTGCACACACATTCATATGAGCCAAAATAAAAAAGATTTTCAAATTACACATATAAAATAACTTGACAAGTAAAATCTGAAAATAAATACTTTATATCAGTCTAATTCCACAAAATCATGAAGACAAGCATAGATCAAAATTTAAATGGTCAACTGTTACATTGTGAAATGCTTAATAAATTATTTATTGAAAGAAATCTCTATATTAGAACACTGCATTGAAACTATACTGTTCAGGATATTCAAGAATATTAGGCATAGTACTTAAATGTTCAAATGTTTCACAAGTTACCTGTGGATGTAATGAATGAATGCAATATTATGATCACGTTTATATTTGACAAATTTGAGCAGTGTTTAGTTAAAATGTTTATGCTTTTGTAGCTAATGAGAATATATGGTTAGTATTCAGTGTTGATGTCTTCGTCCAAATTTACTAAAGTAAACAAAGGTGGTGTACTAATCCTTTTTTAACAATACAGTCTTGTGACATTCAGTTTTAACAGGATTTCAAATGGATTTAAAATTGATAATGTACTTTTTTGTTAATGGATAATGAATAAAGTCATTTATATGGAACTCCTTGCTCGAGAAGACATCTCTGTGTTAAATCATTTTCAAGATATTTCAGAACCAACCATTTTACAAAAGGGAGCTCTAATTTTGCGCTTCCATCATCATTGTTATTTCTTATCACAAAAGTGCAATGCGCAAGAAAGAATTAGAACAACCTTCTAGGCACTGGCCTTTAAAGAAAACTTTTTGCTCCAGTCGGAATTTTTCCAGTTTTTCTACTGAAGAGAAATTCAGCTCTCTGGAGACAGCTTTACATTTCAGGATCTTCTTAGGAACCCGAGCTGGAAAACAAAATCAAAACTATTAGTTACCAGACATGGCACATTCTGTACTAAATTCAGAACTGAAGACTGATCTTGACCTCTCACTGACATCACTAAAAGGAGCAGAGAAGTAGCGGACATAAGAGAAGATTTGGCGTAGCTTAATCGAGTCAATAGTTTAAATCTTTAATGCAAGGTAATGCTGAGAACCACAAACCTTCATGTTCTACCCCAGGAAGGGAGAGGTCTTCAGTTCCCTGCCAGAGAACCTTCCCTGTCTCTGCATCTCTAAGATTCATCCAGTTTCTGAAGACAAGTTAAGGCATGCTGAACGGACTGACAATGAAAATGTCTCCTGATGTCAGGGCCAAATTTCCAGAAAATGGCATTTTACAAGAAGATCAACTCAAACAATGTCAATGGGAGATAAAACTTTTCCAAATCAATAATTTTGTGTTAGGCTCATTGAGCCTCAAGTAACAATTCACATTAATATGAAGATTGTGTCATCATTTACCTCATGTCATTTCAAACCTGTATGACTTTCTTTCACAAAAAGAGATGTTCACCAACCATCAAGCTCCAAAAAGAACAACAACAACAACAAAAAAGCACTATAAAAGCAATCCAAGACACTTGCACAGTATAGCAACTCTTCTGAAGCCATATAATAGATTTGTGTGAGGAACACACTTTAGAGTCGGCATGAAACGGAAGTTGCGATTGTCTTTTCTTCTCTATTGTGACGTATATCCGAGTGAAACGGCATCTGAAATGAGAGATTTCCTTCGGGAATTGTTTGGATTGTTGGAAGCTGGGGCGTTGCTAACAAAATGGAGGCAGATCTGAATGGCAGTTTGAAGTTACGACACCCAAGCATGAATAAATGTTTTATTTATTAAGGATGACGACGACAATCAATGGCACAAAACATGCCTAAACAAAGCGCGCGCGCGCGCGAGAGAGAGAGACTGCCTGAATGACTGAGCACGTCCTCCATCAGGTTGTCATATTCATGAAAAAAATTAGTTTGCGATGTCCTAAGAGTAATGTCGTAATATCCTAATATCTTTTCAATGTTTAGGGGTAATGTACTCCCTCATGACTAATGTCAGTGCTATAAAGTGAAGCATCAGCTTCAGCTTTCCTCCTGTCGTTTATCCCAGCGTTTACCCCTCACGTCACTAGCTCCGCCCTTGCGCCATAGCTCGTGACCAGAAGAGAAGATGAGTCGGGGAGGGGAGGTTAACGTTTTTGATTAAAGATTACGAGGGCACATGAAATTTAAAAAAAATAATGAAGTGCACGTATAAATTATTTATAATAAACACTACAGTATTCCATTAAAAAATAAGAATTTTCAATTTTGATTTCATG